CGCTCGAGTCTACAGGAGCGTCAAGAAAATCCAATTTCTCCCTGTCCCCAATACTCAAAATATTTAGCCACAGCAACCTCTCGCCCGCAACGGCGACAGCCATGGTATGGCCGCAGCTTTGCACCACACCACGTGAGGTGCGTAGATTGAGATCAGTTATGCATATGCTTGCAGTTATGGAAGCGATGAAGTGTTCCATTTTCCCAGGGAGGGAGGGCCTGGCCGATGAGAGAGTGGTCCACCTGTTCGGATGCAGGTGGTGAGCCACTGACTGCTCGACCGTGGGAGGGTTAGGCGGGAAGGGAGCCTTTTCCCATCATAGATATCCCCTTTAACTCCTGAATCCCCCGGAGTTACAGGCCAAGCTATGCCAAGCTTAGCTGCCGCATGCTTACAAACCTCGACTAGGTCGCAATCCATCACAGTCGACGCTACATCGCCACTTTGCACACTCACCGGCCTGGACACTTGAGCTGCAGACAGGAAAGCATCATCCTCATCATCATCTGGCTCATCTCGGAGGAGGCGAGCTAACATCTCATCTTCTTCTATATCTCCCTCGACCTCGTCGCCCCCTGCCAGCAGCTGCTGGTCGAAACGCGGTGTAAAGTCTGGGGACTCCGAATCCATAATATCCCCCCACGAAGGAAGATCCCGCGGGGGAGAGGGTTGAGCCCCTTTTGCCGAAGGAGGAACAGCAGAGAGAACCAGATCATCTTTGGAAGATGCAGCCCCCCAAAGCCGCTTTTCTAGAATCCTGGCCGGCATTACACAACAGTGCGAACAACTTTCCGCATCCGCCAGCGCAGCCTGGGCATGCTTGACACGCATGCATGTGATACACATCGGATGCGAATCCCAGCCCGAGATCATGAATCCACACATTGCCAGACATGAGCGCGACGGGGCCTCCTTCCCTTTCTCCACAGCGACCTTGGACACCAACATGGTGAGTCAGATATTCCAGTACTTAGCGCGCCTTAACGCGTTAGCTAGTACACACTGCTAATAGCGGCCGAAACGAAGAAGCTCAGTAATGAGCAGAGAATCCACAACATATTCTTCCTCTTTTGACTGTACTGCATTCGGCAACATCAACCTTGACGGTACGTTTATGAACTGAAAGCGGCGCAGCCTAGGTGCTGAAGGAAAGTCTTCATGGGGAAGAGAACAAGAATGCCGCTTCGGGGATCACAGCTGTATATATAGGGAGGGGGTGGGCTCCTTGTTACGAGCTGTGATTGGTCCGTCCTTCAGACAGATGTGTTGTAATTGGTGCTTCCATAGTCTATCATGCCTGGGGGCGTTCCCATAGTGAGATACCGAATGATTGTTTGAAAGAGAACCTAGGTTGTTAAAAGCGTCTTTCAGTTCCATACCATAAAACAGTCCTTAAGAATCCTAGCTTGCTGTAACTCCCAATGTGAATGTGAGAAGTGTCCACCGGTGTATATACAAAAGTCCACTAAAGTGATAATCCAAAGTGCTGGAAAGGTAAGTCTACAAAGGTAACTCCACTCTTCCAGTGTGCTGGGGATCACCATATGGTCAGTTTGATTTGCAAACATGCTTGTTGTTTGACATTCTGCCTCCTTTACACTGTTCATTTCCTATCAAGTCAGCATTTGAAGTATCCCTGTACATTCTTACGATGCAAAGACTAGGCATGTAAAAGGTTATTTGTTTAATGTCAGGAATTTAAAAAGCTACGTTCATATACATTACAGTAGCGTACATCAGATGAACATGATAAACATCAGACGGACGAGATCCTCAACATATATATAACAAATGACAAAGTGCTCATTCTGAAATCTGAATAAAGATTTATGCTTTGTATACATATATACCTTCATTCGCCTTGTACAGTTATTCATTGTTTATGTCATTTTGTTATAGTGTTGTTGTTCGTACAGTAGGCTAACTGCAAATGTTTCAACAATGATTTCATTAACAGCATTAATTTTGAAGCAGGTAATGATTCAAATGGTGATTAAATTAATTATTAATTTAACATGTATACATAACATTTTACATGGAAACAGTAATGCTAGTAAAATGCCATATTTGCGCGATCTTTGAGAGTCTGAAATAGATGTTGCTCAATCAGGACATTAAAAATATACATATCATAACTTATTCAGAGGAATAACTGACTATATACAGTACAGATTTAAAGACATGAAGCTTTATTTCCAAGATGATGCATGGTAAGCTTTTCATTTCAGTACAACATAAAGTAATATAGTGACAGAGGCTTGTATTGTATTGTTCATTATATATTCAAATCAATTTCGGATACTTATACGTTCATGTTTAATAATTCCTGAATAATTACACACATAAAGAAATAGGCTATATTTTGTGTTAGAACAGTTACCTGTGTCGGCAAGTGCACAGCCGACACACCCACCATAACGATTTAAATATATGGCTTATCCTGCCCAAAAAGACCATAAACATTACAGATAACATCTGAAGTAAAATTGAATTTACATAAACATGACATAAAAACTAATCCCGCATGACTAATTCGCTTCAAATCGGGTGATTTTAGGTCAGCTGTTTAGCTGTGAGTCAATGCTACTCTCTGCCGGTAGGGAATAGTAAGATGGCGGCTCAAACACTTCTGGTGGCTTCATTGCCTATCAGCAGTTTAGAACGCAATGAGCAATCCAGTCATTTATATAGATCAGTGACCCAGACTCATTTAAAAACATACATTAAAACAGATTAGAGGAATAAAATTATTAAGACAACGTGTAAACCTATTAAAACTCAAATATACTTAAAATCATTATGATATATTGAGCAGGTTAAAACGTGTCCTGTGTGACAGTGTCACAAAATAACATGCAAAGATATCACATGACTGTATAGCGTCCACATATACCACATATCTTTTGATCACATCAAAAAACTACAGTTTTGTTTTTTACTTCTCTTTCAGTGTAACAGTAAGAGGGAGTGATTTCCTTAGGAAGTCATTTGTCCCTTTTGACACCAGTGTGTCGCTGTGACCTGTTTCATCAAACCATTGCTGCATCCCAATACTTATACTACGTCCTTAATGTAGGTACTGTTTTGGTGAAGAAAAAGTTCACACTTTTGAGTGTGTAGTAAAAGAGTAGGCAAGCTTTGGGACATAGTATCATGTCACACAACTGCGTCTTTAACTGATCGCTCTGTCGCATAGTTACACGCACCCTGTCACTGTAAACTGGTCTGTCAATTATCTTGTCACAGTTAAGCCATCAGAGTGTGCACGGATCCACATTTCAAAAGTCGACCTGAAATAGTAGACCATCCGGGGACTTTTGGCATACTCTTTTCAACATATTATGCTTTGGGACACACTTATTTTAATCTCACATACTATTTAGGATGGATAGTATGCACATTGTAAAGCAGGGCAAAACTATTACTGAAGATTCAAATGGCCTTTGGTGTAAAAACCACATCATTAGACAAATTTCAGTTGAATCATCCATGTGGGCTATTGGTGCTTGGACCCCGATGATTGCTGTTTGTGACTATTATTATTATTATTATTATTATTATTATATTAATGCTTGAAGTCTGTAGAACTGTATAGTGAAAAGTCTCTCAAGCTCTACAGCAATACTCACTATTTGAAATGTATCTTGAAGTTTCAATACTGTCAACATGTTCCACATTTTACAAATTAAATTAAATAGTTTATCAGGTGGACCCTAACAAAATGTACAGTGAAGCTGTGTCTTTGCAAGGTTTTTATTCATTCAAATGAGATTCAAAGCAGCCTGTACTGATTCAAAATTTGTACTTGTTCAAACTAAAACAGGTAAAGTTTGTCAAGAAAGACTGACATGTTACTCCATTTTATTGTGCACATTTCACTGTTTAATTAGTCACGTTGGGCATACACCATAACATACTCACCTGTCTGTGGAATGAAGTTCTTCAGGAATGACTAGAAGATTTCTTTGTGGTTGATCTAGTTTGTCTATTATTTTATTTTACTTCAAAGTCTCACAGAAGGCAATTGAAGCAACACAACACTCATTTTATTTGTTAGTTATAAGCAGGTAATGTAAAAATAATAATACTAATAATAATGATAAAAAATACAACAAAACATGCTTTAAAATAGGCACCATGTAAAGTGTTCTACTCCTTTACCTTTTTATGTTGCACTTTTATCTCTGACTCACTGGATGTCTTTTTTCTTTGTTGCCTATACACTAATAAACCTTCTCAAGCTCCTCCCATTTTATTGTAGTCTTCTTTGGTGTCATTTTACTTGTAGTTTTCTCTCTTCCTCTCTTCCAATCTTATACCACCTATTTGTTCATATTCTGCATAATTATTTTAACTTATTTTCTAAATTATAAAGTAAGTCTTGCAGGTACTTTCTAAGCAGACAGCATTCAAGTATTTTTATATAATTTCTATTTTGTCAAGTAATATTTTGTCCTGTTAAGCATTTGCAAATAGCATTTTACAGTGATAGATAGATTTTCTCATTGCTCTTTAGTGTTCCCCATGGATCAAAAAAATTAATCAATAAAAAGCCTCCTAATGGGTGTTTCCAGTTGGGCAAATAAATTCCAGTTACACAATGACGCAATTCTACTTCACTGATCAGTTCCATCCATTGGCTTGCTCTTGCCATTTAATGCTCAGTAACTGTGACCCCACCTCAAACACTGGAACATCAAACACAAAACTTAAAATCATAGGTCATATACTGTTATTGGCAGCATAGGTGAGTAAAATGGGGCATCATGTCTGCACACAGTTCTTATACGTACATCCCTATTCTCGATGATTTCACTGGATTATGCCTACAATTCATTTTGACATTATAGAATACATTAATTGAAAATTAATTTTGTTTTACACTAGCATGCAGCTTTCCCATGCCCCATTCCCAACTCTTATATATGTGTTTCACAAATGTTTTATTAAACCACATATTTTGTGGCTTCGTGTTGTATGTTTCTGTGTGTAATCCACAGGGGCGGTACAGGAGAGAGGACTCTAAAGCACGTCTGACTCTTTGTCTCTCCCTGGTGGACAATCTCCTGAACGACAACACGGACGGCTGTGCACTGGCTGCACTGCTGCACTTCTACTGTCCTGATGCTGTGCCACTGGAAGGTACTGCTGCAGGAAACTTTTCTTTGTGATATGAGAAATATAGATCTTTTTGTCCTTCCAAGTTTCAATCTATTCACACTATTTTGTGAATACTTTACTTACCGTATGTTTAGATTAGATCATTTATATATGATGATGACAGGTCAGGAAAGGGCCTTGACATATTGAGTGGTTCTGTGACCATGAGCAATTGGCTTTATTGTAGACTTTCACTTCAATTTAAAGGTATAATTATGGGTGTGGGGTATATATCATCTACAATAATATCGTAATTGTTGTTTAATCTGTGTATCACAAAAAAAAAAATAAAAACACACCCAGAAAGTGCACGCATAGACTATGAGATAGGTTAGACTACTGCGTGAGCAAATTTAGAGTTCACACTTTCACTGTGTTATTTAGTCTATTAAAATCCATTTAGAATTCCCCCAAAATTCAAGATAAGGTGGCTAAAATGCCCCCGTATGACTTTTATATATCTTTTATATCTATATCATCTGATATAGTTAATTTCACATGAAAAGTGCCGTTTTTCTTCTCCAAATATCAGCATGATTGCAAATGTGATATTGATTTTATAAAAAATCAGTGCAATAAATAAGTTAATATTAATTGACTTACATTTTAAACACAAGTTCCTGTTTTTGCTCTATTTCATCAACGAAAATAGTTTCAAACAAAGCCACAGCAGAACTATTTTGCATCTCTGAGCAACACACAACAATGTTTAGTTACCAAATCAATCAGCCGTTTGAACAAATCAGTTGAATTATTGACTCAGTGACTCACTCATGTAGTTATTTGCCGCCACCTACTGGTGATTTTAGGTTTAAATTGAACGTATATTTAAATTTTTTCCTCAATCAAAATATCAGTATTCAACGTTTTTTTTTTTTAAAGGGATCATAGGATGCTACATGCACATTTACAAGTTGTTTGAACTGAAATGTGTGTTGGCAGTGTGTGTACACAACCACCCTATAATGATAAAAATCCACCCAGTGTTTTTTTTTTTATCTGGTTAAATGTTTTCCCCTTTCTCAAATCGAGCCGATCTCAGATGCCTGTCTGTGTGATATCACACAGACAGGCCCCTCCCACGATAGTTTGATTGACAGTAGCGTTTCAGCACAGACTGGACTGGTGTCTTACCTCAGACCCGCCCTGAGTGAGCTGTCATCAGTCCGCCATTGTTTCACCGCCGGAGCAGATGTAGACAAGAATGACTCCTAAGCGATTGAGGTCTTCTGTTGTTGGATGTAATAATGAACATAGCAGTCGTCATTTACTCCCGACATCTGAGCCGCTGAACTCGCAGTAGATTACATTGTTTCTGAAGGGAATGCACCCCCGATCTACATAAATAGACAGCATAGCTCATTAACATTTAAAGGAAAATGCTATAAAAACGGCTTGATCTGAAAAGAGCTGTTTTTGACAGGGTAAAATAGGTGTTTTTTACACTACCATTGAGAAATTTTAACCAAACTATGTTACAGACTTTTCATTAAGACCCTAAAGAATCATATCAACTTGTGGAAAATGGGCATCCTATGACCCCTTTAAACATCAAAACATTTATGCATTTGTAACTGCAGGTTAACTGCATTCATGTCCTGCATTAAACAGTCTGTGTAAATACATCTAAATGCAACTTGCAGATTCTGTGCCACCTCTGCATTGCAAAGAAAAATATTGTTGATACTGATTTGATTTGAACGGTAACAGCCCTATAGTGTCTTACTGTTTGAATTTATTGATTAAATTTAAGAATCTGATACAAAAAATGCATACGTTTAATTAGGTTAGAAAAAATTGGCCTTATAAAAGGTAAAATGCCCATAAAGGTAAAAATAAAATGTAAACTTAAAGGGTTAGTTCACCCACCTTCGTTAATATTCGGAACACAAATTAAGATATTTTTGATGTAATCCGAGAGCTGTCTGACCCTGCATAGACAGTAATACAACTGAAATGTTCCCAAGTCCAGAAACGTAGCAAGGAGATCTGTAAAATAATCCATGTGACATCAGGGGTTCAACCGTAATATTATGAAGCTTGAGAATAATTTTGGTGCGCAAAAGAAAAAAAATAACGAATTTATTCAACAATTCGTCTCCTCCGCATCACCCTGTAGCGCCATTTTGGAGAGTATCCGCTGGACGTAAACAGTGTATGCTGTTCTGTGTCATCTGTCACGCCGGATCTGTTTCCTACGTTGTTGTGATTTTATCTGACCGAAAACAGCGTATCCGTGTGACGCGGCTGACACAGAACAGCATACACTGTTTACGTCCAGCGGATACTCTCCAAAATGGCACCAGGGTGACGCAGAGGAGACTAATTGTTGAATAAAGTTGTTTTTTCTTCTTTTGCGCACAAAAATTATTCTCGTAGCTTCGTAAAATTACGGTTGAACCCCTGATGTCACATGGATTATTTTACAGATCTCCTTGCTACGGTTCTGGACTTGGGAACATTTCAGTTGTATTGCTGTCTATGCAGGGTCAGACAGCTCTCAGATTACATCAAAAATATCTTAATTTTTGTTTCTGAAGATGAACGAAGGTCTTATGGGTTTGAAACGACATGAGGGTGAGTAATTAATGACAGAATTTTCATTTTTGGGTGAACTAACCCTTTAAAAGTTCATTTCTGTTACTCCTGCAAACTAATCACCGCACAGAATATGAAGAATATCAAACGTTAATTATCGACAAAATTCGAGAAAATATCAAGATATCATTTTTTGTCATTATCGCACAACCCTAGGTATAATCCACCCAAAACTGAAAAGTCTTATTATTTATCCACCTTTATGTTAAGCATATTACTTTTTTCCATGGAACACAAAAGACATTCTGAAGAATATTAATGCTGCTTTTTTTTTTCTTCCATACAATAAAACCATACAGTGACCAGGGGCAGTCGGTTTTAAAAACGGACAAAAATGTAGTCTATATGACTAATTCTCTGAATTCCAGGCCTTCTGAATCCATACAATAGCTTTGTGTGAGGAACAGACATAAGTTTAAGTGGCATTAAATGTTATTTTGCATTTTCTATCTATTAATTAGATAGAGGTTTTAAAATATTCTTTTATATTAAATTGCACAATTTTATTTTATCTATTGAGCGGAGAAGTAAATTATGGAGGATGGCAGAATTGGGAAACACCATGAGTTGGACTTAAATTTGTCTCACCTGCATGATCACTAAGGCTTGTTGTGTAATAACACTTGCTAGACCTTATTGACATTAAACTGCACAGTTAGTAGTGACATTTCTAATCTTGTACTAAGTATGATAGTGTAATCCTTGTGTATTCTTGTGTGACTAGACTTAAACTTTGTCTGGGTAACTGGCCTACAAAACTGCAATATACTTTAGTCAGAAAAAGTGTATTCCTACTGTTTTACTGAGAGGTGTAGCTGAGATACTGTAGCACAACCCTCCAACAGAGGCCTGTGCAGATAAACATTCACCAAAATACTCACCCTCTAATCTGGCCCCATAGATAACATGCATATGCGCACAAACAGCATCAGGAAAACTACATTATCCACTAAACTCTCTCTGAAGTCCCTTGTGCCACAAACATAACATTCTGATTTTTAGAGTCATCTAAAGGAAACAAAGTCTCTGCCTCGTTTTAAATTTGATTTGTGAAATAATAGCAAGGTTTCTTTGACTTTAAACTTGGTTCTGTCAGGACCACTATCGTCAAAGATGATGTTTGACGTCAGTTTGGATTGGCGTTATGGTTCCGTTCTGGGCAAGGACTCCCTGCGCATCCATGCAGCCTAGCATGGATGAGAGCAGGGAGAGCAGCGATAACCCCCCTAGGGTAAACAGAACAGAACCAACATAAATGTATTGCAGATATCGTTAAAGTTAAATAATGTTATGTACACATTTTAGAATTAGTCTGATTCAAAGGAGAATCAGAAGGCTGAATCCTGACTGACAGAGTAGGAGTTGGGGATGGAGGAGGGTAATTAGCTATCGAGCAAGGCGAAAACTGCTGATACTACTGTGGGACCTTATATATGAATACTTAGATAGGTGTCGTATTCCCATAGGTTGATGGGGATCAGCTGAGAGTCAGCTGATGCGAGCTTGACTAACGTGACCTGCCAGAACTTCTTGATATCCTTCTTGGGGATGAAGTTCCCATCTGACTTGTTCGTGAGTCAGTCACATAACTTGTGGAGTTCATGACAATAATGTAGAGATGGTTTTGCCTGCCGAATTCGCCATTTAATTAGCTATCGAGCAATGCGAAAACTGCTGATACTACTGTGGGACCTTATATATGAATACGAGTGATGTCCGGTTCGCGAACGAATCGTTCGATTTAACCCGTTCTTCTTAGTGAACCGGTTGAACCAGTTCACCAAATCTGACTGAATCATTTGAAACGGTTCGCGTCTCCAGTAAGCATTAATCCACAAATTACTTAAGTTATTCAGTTTATAAACGTGCCTGACACTCCATCTGATGCGAAATAAACCAATATCCCGTGTTATTCAGTTACTCCTAACAGTACATTGACTGAACTGCTAAAAGAGAACCGATGATGGGATGTGCACGAGCAGAGCAGCTGGTCTGAGTCTCATCCTGCTGGGAGACGGCATCACAGTATGTTAAGGGGCGTAACATTTCCGTCACACG